CTTTCTGTAATTTTCTAAGGACTCTAAGACAATTAAAACAAGCAAACAGGAATAAGTGCAGACCAGAGTACTCAGAAAGGGAATCAGATGATCGGAGGAGGCGGAGTTTCCCAAACATCAAACACATTCTCTTCACTATGCAATGCGAAAAGCCGATCCCCACCAATGGAGAAATCACAAATGGAACCACCATAGCTTCTTCTTAGCCTAGAAGTTAAAACCCAGTCTGGTCCACAAAACACAGAGATAGAATCATTCATCGAAGAGAAAAGCTGGCCTTCGTGCAGCGCTAGTTTCGGGTAACAAGGCTCGTCCGGCATCTTGCTTTTCATCAGTCTACTCCTCGAACTCCACCTCACGCTTCCTCCATACATTCTCAGATCAATAAACCCTAAATCCTCAAACTCATTCACCACGCAAATCGAATTGCTATCTTCCATAGCAATGGCATCTCTCACTCTCTTCTCATCTATCGCCATGGGTGATCCGATATCCGACCAAGACCAAACCATGTTCTTGTCCCGAAAATCCAACAAGCTAATGTAACAGTTGTCTTTTCTTGGAAACAATGTAGCTACAAGAAGACAATTCTTACCATTCAGCCATTGAAGCTTATCAGCATCACCAAGTGACCAACCAGGGCTCTCGTAGAAGAAATCTGTTTGTTTTCCGGTGATCTGATCCCAAACACCGATTCCGTACTCATTACTCCTTCCTTTGCAGCTCGCAAAGATCTTATAATCCGGACAAAAGCTCAAAGCTCCGGCTGTATAACTCTTCACCTGATTCTCATGACTGACCTGAAACTTATACCGGAGATCACCGGAAGATGAGCTGAACAATCCCATGCCTCCGTCTCCTCTCCCTAATCTCTCGCAAGCAGAGAGTACGATGTTGTCTGAATCAATCCAGCCAACATCGTTAACTCTCTGGTAATCGAGATTGATCGGACAATGCTCTTCCAGCATCCAATCTAACACGTGGACTACGCTCCCGTGCGCGACGCAGCAACCACCATCAGGACCAGCCCTGATGGCAGTTCCGTCTCCCGGAGCGATTCCTTTAACGGAATCGCCGAGACGGAGACGGTTGCCGTCGAATGGACCCCATTTGGCGGTCCGTACGTGGTCGAGTAAACCGTAGAAAGAAGCTTCTCTGTGAAGGAGACGCTCTGGGATGTTTGTAGGGACGTTAAGGTCTCCGGTACGGAGGAGATCGAGAAGAACGGCGAAACAATCTGGGTTTCTGTCGACGAAAATATCCTTTTCCGGTGGCGAGAGATTCCATTCGTCGTCGAATAATGCACCGAAGAAAGAATCTCGACCTGCGTTTGCTAGAGTCGTCGATGTCGTCTCGAAGAGTCGACCACCAACGTTGAATTTGATCCTGTCTTTTGAGATACCCATCGATGGAATAAAAGAAATTCTCAGACAATTTGTTTTTGTTTTGTCTGATTTCGACAATTAGGTGGAAAAAAACGATGAATTCGGGATTTGAACAGAGAAAGGAAGGATTTTTTTCCGGGAAAGAAGAAGAATTTTTTGCTTTTCTCGGAAAAGTTCGAAGATGAATCAGTAATCATCAGCTATGGAGAATCTCTCGGACAAGAAGCCATGAAAGCTTCGATAAAGAGAAACCAACAAACGAAGACTTCGATCAAGTTCGAAGAAATTGAGCTCTGGGCACGTGAAAGAAGCTGTTTCTTATTAATGGGCTATCGAATTTATCAGATGATCTGAAGAAAAATTTGAAATTTTTTCAGAAGATGAGAAATCGAATTGACTTCTCTCTCTCTCTGCTCTTTTTTTTTTCATTCCGTTTACACACAATAGATGTTCTACATTTATACATTAAACGAATAAAAAAATCCCAAAAAGACCATATGTGGGTCCCGATTTTTCTTTCTTTTGAAGTAGCTTGAACCGTAGGATGATAGTGTTTTTAAGATATTGTTTTTTGATCTAACGGTTGATATTTCGTGTTGGACATTCCTAAATCGGGAGATCTCAGATGTTCAGACTTTGTTATATTTGTATGTAAACACTATTTATTTTCTTTATAATTTTATATATACACACATCAAGTTGAATTTGTGAAGATAAACTTAAAATCTTTTGACCAAAAAGAAAAAAACTTAAAAATCAATAGTTTGTATTTTTTAGGGTAATATTAAGTGCGATGTCCTTATCTTTTAATTATTGACTTTCAAAAACACACAACTTTCATTTAAATGATGAGAAGAGATTTTCTCAAATATTTTATCGATTTTTATCAAACAAAGTGTTCGTGTTAGTGGAACAATTCAAAATCAGATTTTAAATGAAT